GAGATATGAGAGAAAATTGTTCATACGTAACAATAGTATTTGATAGTTTATTGAAATTCAGATAGAAATATTAAGCATTCCATTTAAAACACTGAAAGTGACCGTCATATCTTGATAAAAATGTAACATAGTAAAAAACATATTCTTGCATTATATGCCCCCCTTTTAGTTTAGTTTAGTTTATCCTCGCTTCTCCCGGGGGAGGGGAAGTGCGATTTCCCCCCAAGGCCGCAGCTGTGGCTCAAAACGCCGGTAGCTTTCACACAGCCCTGCAATAGGACTGCAGTGAGCATTACCCGGGGAGACTGTTTCCCCCGGCTTTCCAACCCGACCAACTTTTTTAGGCCCGGGCCACATGGAGGCGAGGAAGTACTCGCGCGGGGGGCGGAGAGTCACTAGGATCGTCCCATCCCTACCAGAGAAATTAGCTAAGGGAGTATGGTCGTCGGGGCAACCGATCCTTCGTCTCCAAAGTGAGTACCGGCTCACTCTTCGCTTCACCCACAGACCGAGTCTGTACCAGGGGTGGAATCATCGTGCTTGCGTACGTTCCATCCTCGAGAGAGAGCTGTGTCGCCTATTTCAACCCCCTAGTGAGTTACCTGAATAATTCAGGAGCCCCCCCATATGCCCCCCTTAGATTAGATTAGATTGTAGCTCAACGTCTCCCAGGAGAGGGGAAGTGCGATTTCCCCCCCAAGGCCCAGCTGTGGCTTCTAGCGCCTGTAGCTTTCACACAGCCCCCGCCACAATAGCCGGGACTGCGGTGGGCGTTACCCGGGGATGCAATTTCCCCCGGCTTTCCAACCCGACCAACTTTTTTAGGCCCGGGCCACATGGAGGCGAGGAAGTACTCGCCCGGGGGGCGGAGAGTCACTAGGATCGTCCCTTCCCTACCTGAATAATTAGCTATGGAGTATGTCGTCGGGGCAACCGATCCTTCGTCTCCAAAGTGAGTACCGGCTCACTCTTTGCTTCACCCACAGACCGAGTCTGTACCAGGGGTGGAATCATCGTGCTTGCGTACGTTCCATCATCGAGAGAGAGCTGTGTCGCCTGTTTCAACCCCCTATTGCTCTACCTACCTATGTCCCGAATAGTTCAGGAGCCCCCCCTCCTCTGGTACCCCTCACAAATCTACCACCCCCCCTGAAGGACAGGGAGGGAGTCCCGGGACTCCAACAGAGATACATGGGGAGGCCGTTCTAGCCGACCTCAAGGAGAGACGTGGTCGGGTTCGGCGATCACCTCCCCTGGGAGCCGCAGTGGACCATAAATGAATCCACCGCCAGTATGAAGCTAGTCTAAAATTATAGCTGGGTATGTGAATTTAATAGAATGGAAAACGAGGTAGAGTAGATCGCGCCCTCCCCCCACCCTAGAGTCTGCAAGGAACGCGACGCGAGACGATAGCCCACCGGACTTCGCCGAAATTTCTCCGAAGAGGAAATATCAGGTTCATCAGGGACCACCGCTCGCGTTCTGGGTCTCTAGTCACCCCTCCCTAATGGTCGACGCTCTCTCCCTCCGGCGTACCACGGATCGTTGCAGCGTGTGCCAAACGCCCTATATATATGCCCCCCTTAGTACCATGTAACTTTTGTTTGAAATATTTTTTCATAGCAGTAAACCAGCTTGTATATTATAATCTAGCGATTGTCAAATATGTTTCCTTAAATCAAATTTTAAATCAGGCCAAATTTAATTCAAGGAATAGCAATGTAATAGTTTATCAAACAATGTACGAGGGTTAAACTATCTTCTGGCCTGCACTTTATGTGTATTACGATATAAAGATTTAATTTTTTAAATTTAATAAAAAATGTAACGTACATAAGATAGAAATTGTCTAATAATATACAGAATGAGTCAATAAGAACTACTATCTAAAATAACTCATTGCCTATTTGTATCAAAAAACGTTTTAATGAATTATATAGCATTTACTTATTATATAGCATGACAATATATTTACGTTTAGGGCCGGTTCTGGCGGAGGGAGAACACGTGCCCTACACATGGGCGGCCAATTTAGGGGGGCGGCCCGAGGCCGCCCTCGCGACCTCAATGTTTACATGGTTGTCGCAAAATTTGTATGTTTCATAATTATTTGGCACGATTTGTTTCCAATGACAGATATTGTTAGTAAAATACTTCAGAATCCAACAATAAACTCAACAACATATAATCAGAATTTTCTATAACTCTATGTACAGGGTGATCCATACAACTTGCATACCTTAAGCAACTTCTAAAGTATGAATTGTATGAAACATTTTTTTATACAAAAGTTACATGGCTTGGAAGGATACAGTATTTAGTGCATATAATTTTTTTGTGGGTAGTGACGTTTCGGAGATTTTAAGATCAAATTCGTTATTTTAAAGGGAATGCTATATGTATTTTTTATGCCAAAATATCGATGAGTGTTGATTTCTGAGTAAAAAAGTATTGACCTTTATTAACTCTAAACCTAATAATTAACGAATAATTTCACTCCGTTTCTTGAAAATGTTCTGTGGGTAATATCAAGTTGGAGATTCAATATCAACAAAGATTTTCGTGTGGTGACTACGTTTAGTTACATTAAAACATCCGCTAACTCGAAGCGATTTACAAAGTCTCTCAAACATCCATCGACATGGCTGATTTCGTTTAGGATAAATTTCGGCATACATAGCTATGGGTAGCTCTTGTTGCAATTTTGCGGCACTCACCATAAACGAAAAGCATAACCAATTTTTCACTATTATTAAATTTCATTTTTGCTTTCCTTTTACTGAGGTAATCACGTACAAACACTGATGATAACTTTAATACTGAAATACGGACAGAATAGGCGATTGCCATGATGCAGAATCTGTCAGCGCAGCCGCGTAATAGGATTAGGTTTGGTGGAATAAGTAACCATGGTTGAAGGTTGAATAATACTTATTTTAGTTTATTGTAACGATACGTAAGCACGCGGCGAAATCAAGTAAAACAGGTGAGCGTGAAGAAAGAACCACGCGCTTGGCGGTGCACGAGAAGCTTACGTAGAAAAATGTTACCAACTTTACAACATATACCAGAGTTGGTAATTCTTACGTCTAGGATTAATACAATAACCAGTAACGAACTATTCCAACCGAATCTGCAGTGTTGATAAACATTGTCACGTAAACACCGCGGTCTCACGGAAATCTTTGCTCCAACTTAATATTACGCACAGTACATTTTCAAGAAACGTGGTGAAATTATTCGCTAATTATTGGGTTTAGAGCTAATAAATGTCAGTACTTGTTTACTCAGAACTCAACGCGCTTCGATATTTTGGCATAAAAATTCTTTTATTTTCACATTCCATTTAGAATAACGTATTTGACTTCGGAACCTCCGAAACGCCTCCATATACAAAAAAGTTATATGCTCTACTTAATGTATCCCTCCGGACAATGCAACTTTTGTATAAAAAGTTTTTTCATACAATGCATACTTAGAAGTTATATAAGGTGTACAAGTTGCGTGCACCATCCTGTATAAAAAGGTGTTATGAGCCGACGGCTAAAGGCCCTCTTCGTCGTAGCCGAGGTAAGGTAGTGTTAGGAGCGGACGAACCAATGCTTATTTCATCTCTGGGAGCCGTTGAAACGACGGAATGTCGCGGACGAACCGATGTATATTTCACTACCGGAAACCGCTTCAATGAGTAAACTTTGGCTTCGTAACTTTGTAATTAAGAATACAGCAGAATTGAATTGAATTCTATGTTTATAGAATAAGTAATACAAATATATTCTAAATCAGTCGTAGCACGTTACAAATATTTAAGTTGCAAGTGTCGCGGGAACTAATTCCTTCCCTGATAATCACGCACCAAGACAGAGTGCGGGGTCACGTTAAAGTAATGCCTAACACAGTTAACAGTAAGTTTACGTACTGTTTGGTTATGAATGCTTGAAGGGGATTACCTCGATCTTGCTTGTCAGAAACTCTATACTGATGCTTTGACTTTTAATAGCAACTGTATTCTTAAGAGGTTCTGGGGTACATGCCGCGTGGTCCAACACAGTCCTCTTACCAGAAAACATCCCTACCTTCCACACTCCGTGGCCAGATTCTCCAACAACAATGTCCTTATTCTTAAGGCAACGCAACGTCGGGCAGCTTGCCATCTCAAACTTTCCCTCATCTGATTCTCATAAATAAACCTACGATGGCCGATAACTGAAGGACCCCACCCGGCCCGCCGCCGTCATGTGACATCAGAAATACTTGAATCAGAATACTTGAATTTTTTCAAGATAAGTGCATCTTTTTTTAATACATTCATTCTATAGGCCGTCGAATTTGCCCGTCTATTGAAATCAACGTGGTATCGAAAAAAAAAGATGAATTGGCCTTGATAAAACTCAGGGTCATCTTAATATCTAAAAAAGAAATATGATATAAAAAATTAAATTGTATCGATCCGATGCATTCTTAATGCTACATTATTCATTAAAACGTTCTCTGATACAATCAATAGGTGACGAGTTATTTTACACAATAGTTCTTATTGACTCAACCTTCTTATATACAGGGTGTAACAAAAATGTTGTCCCACCTGGAAATGGGGCACTCGGGAGGAGAATTGGAACAAGTTTTTCCTTAGCAACAATGTAATCCGAGGCTTCGTTACTGAGATATTAACGAAAAACCGCGACCAATCAGAGCGCGAGTTTGCCAGCCAGGTTTCCGCGGTAGCGTTGGGTACAAATCACAGCACGTAGCCACTGTTAGAGCGGGAACTCGGCTGGCAAACTCGCGCTCTGATTGGTCGAGGTTTTTCGTTAATATCTCGATAACGCAGCCTCGTATTACATTGTTGCTAAGGAAAAACTTGTTCCAATTCTCCTCCCGAGTGCCCCATTTCCAGGTGGGACAACATTTTTGTTACACCCTGTATATATGTGTGTAGTGCGTACGAAATGAATACTGCATGTTCATCGTATACTAATACAAGAAGTTGTGCATTGCAGGCGTTGCAGTCGAAGAAATGGAATGTCTTCTAGACTTTATGTATCGGGGTTCCATCGATGTTGCCGAGGAACATTTACCCTCCCTAATAAAGACCGCCACGGATCTCGAGGTTCGTGGTCTCTCGGGTGACCACAGGAATCAAGAAAACAATCGGAGCCCCTACACAAGGGTCGAGACGCGAATGCAACGGTGTCACATAGAGACGAGGGTTCACACGACCGAGTACATGAAGGAACCGTCCGTGATTCCATTTCTGCCGAAACAGTCTTCCGTGGAATCGTTGGAGGATCACATCAAAGTCGAGGAAATTGAAGTGGAGGACGATCCGATGGTGATCGACGGACACGAGGATACTTTCGACGAACCTTTACGTTCGTCGGATACACAAATCGTACGTATCAATGAATTAAACGAAGAAAATTCTAACTGTCTAGTTCCTAGATGTGTAGTATTCTTCGGTGATTACTAGTCTGCGAATGTTTATGCAACTTCACGACATTGGAATTATCTTATAAACGTAAAATTTAAAAAGTGAAATTTATTTCCTGTACTAGATGTCTTCATTTTTCAAAAAAATTTACTTAATCAATCTATGTACGTTTCACGGGCCCAAAAGATACAAATTTATTATAATATAAAGGAAATTCAACCTAGGAATCAACAAATATTCTTTTAAGTCCTAACTCCGAAACTTTGAATGTTTTTTTTCTTAATGGTTGTATCTCCAAATACCTACTAACAACAATTCAAAATTTGTATTGATAAATAAGATAAAATTTTGGTAAATATCGTAATAAATAGCTATTCAGTACATGGTATTATAGTGTGTTTGATTATTTCACTACTTGCCTGCTTCTATAATGTTAAACTTCGTAAACTTTGAACTCAGTTTTCGCAGTTTAGAAACTAGTGGAAATAGAACACTTAAGAACTAGAGCGATGATATATTGATAATAATGTACAAAAGTCATTACATTTTAGTAAAGTCTTTATTTTGTTGCATTTTACATGTTACAATTTGCTATAAATGCATAAACATCCGCAGTCTAGTGATTACTAATAGCCTCTGTGGGTCATTAGATTCTATCCACAAATAACGCGAAAGGTTGTCAGTCCCTCATAAATTTGTGTTTTGCTCGAAGCCGAGCCTCTACTTAGCTTCTGTTTACTCCGTTTTGATTGGTTCCAAAGGCGGACTCCCTCAATGGTGGAAATAACGTGGTTTCTTGTTGTCGCATTCATCGAGGAATCACTGTACTTGATAGGATATAAATGTAAATTTCTTTAAATACATAAAGTATACCCTTTTTTATAATTCGAGAATACGCAGAGTAGCTTCACCCTGTAACTCTCAATGTTGCATCGGTGCAACACTCATTTTAAGAGTGCGTTAAATTCTGTCACTGGTTAATATCTACATTTTCTTAGCACGGACCCGCTGAGACTGATGTGAAGTAGAATTGAATGTTTTCCGTTGAAATAAATAAAAAAAGAAATGAAAAATATAGATCAGTTTAATATCGATATTATCGATTTCAAAATAATAAGATACAACATATACATCAGTCTTGTAATTCTGAAGTAACGATTTAAGGCTCTGGGCGTTAAAAGGTTAAATTGTATTTAAAGGGCCGATGAAGGCTCGAGTTTGCGAGTATTTTAAGTGAACAGCATTCTAATTCACCAATATACAGTGGACCCCCATATAACACAAATTCGTATAACAAGACGAAAAAATGGTGACAGTGCACGTATAACACGGTAAAACAGACTCGTATAACACTGTAGATAAGTTTACATTTTCACACTCTGATTACAACTGTCACATGAAATTCCTTTAATATTTATTTTACATTTTTTATAGTAACCCCCACATCTTTTGTACAATACATATGTATTGTATTTCCATATGCATACTAGGGTGCCAGTTATTTATTTACTAAAAAAAAAATTCAAATTTGCGGTGGAACCCCGTCCCTAATTTTGTTCCTTTTGATTGAATATTTCGCTACACCAAATTTCAGCTTATTCGGTTAATATTATCCCGTGGCGACAACACCTGGAAATTAAAAGAAAATTACCTTTTCAAATTTTTATTGAACGATTTATCTTGTGACTTGATAAGAAACAAAAAATAATACATACAGAATGATTTGATACACAAGCAAAATTTTGAAAATAAAATTTACTGAAATATTCTAAAATTGCAAGTTTAACTTAAAGTTACATATCGAATGATGCTTTTAGTACATCTAATGTAGTGTTGTAGTATCTACGACGGTAATCTTGAACAGTCTGCAATAGAAATGAAACAGTATAATATAAAGTAATACACGTATCATATTAAAGAAAAATAATACAAGTTTTATACTTTCGATAAAAATTGTTCTTAGTCTTCGTCTTTCATGATCTTATCATTAAATTCTGTTATAAGCTTAATTCCTCGCTCGGCCGTGTCGGTCACAATTTTGAACTCCTTCATCCTGCTTTGCACCCCTAGGTATTCATTTGAGTCAATCCACTCTTTGAAATTCGTTTTAAAAATGTGTATTGGAATATTGAACCTAGAGAATAATGTTATCGTCGTTGTCTTTTAACAAATCCTCAACATCCTCTTTCCTTAATATCAATTTTTTACTTATTTCATTTTCACCATCTTTTTGTGTTTCACTTTCCTTTACAATTTTTTCTGCTATCTTTAACTTAGTTTCGTGTTTTATGCGATTATCGAATAGGGAAAATGCCACGCACTCTTCATTTAAGTAATAAAGGTGGTTCATAAATTTGTTAATAGCTACATCTTTATTAACTTTTCTATAACTTCGAAGTTTTCTTAAAAATCTTATTCCATTAAGAGGAGCTTTATCAGCTCTTGGAAAAGAAAATCAACTGCTGGCATATCATTTGACTAAAATTCAAAAAGAGATTTCTCTTCCTGGGCAGTTAATTTAAATTCACGACGAAATAAGTATATTTTTAAATTATAAATAGATTTAGCCATCCATCTTGCCAAGTGGAAAGCACCTGTTTTGCGAAACTTTGTTCCTCCAGGTGGAGTTCCGCCCAAGAAAACTTATGAATTAGCAGTATTTATTGAATACTTATGAAGTACCACATTTGTACTTCTCCTCATTTGTTGATAGCTTTTTTAGAGGCAACTTCAGTGATATTAAGGAAAGAGAATGTTAACGATTTTTTAAAAGACAACGACGATGACATTTTAATAAAATTAATACAACAACATTCAATAACATTATTTTCTAGGTTCGATATTCCAATACACATTTTTAAAACGAATTTCAAAGAGTGGATTGACTCTAGTGTTGTATAAAGCTCGTGTCTTTGAAGCTACAAAGCTTAGCCTTAAAGACTGAGTCTTTAAGGCTACAATCATATGAAGCTCGAGGCTCAAGGCTCGAGCTCTAAGGCTCGAGTCGTCGAGGCTCGAGGCTCGAGTTTCAAGGCTTTGAGTAGTCGAGGCTCGAGCCTCGAAGCTCGAGGATTTTATGTTTAACACGTTCACTGCTGAGCGTGTTTCTGCTGGTTTTGTCTTCAGCGCCAAAGAGTGATTGCCCATTAGAATCATATAATAATATATTACACAATATGATTATATGTATTGTGCAAACTTATCATGCGTGGTACATTAATCTTGCTGCCGGTCATCTATGACTCCCACGGCGTAAGAGTAGGTTTCCAGTCGATCAGATAATACTATATTTTGAACATTACAGACAAATTTTTAGCAATGTTTCATTTCGTCTACTATTCAATGGTTATTTTGTTTCATTTTTCATTTCCCTTTCTTGGTATCAATCTCTCATGTGTTTGCAGTCATCGCTGTATTTTTTAAAAACTGTATAAAGTATAATATTATAGATTTAGTGTAAATTCCATTATTTAACACTTAAGGGTTCTAGAGGGTTGAACTTTAAAGCTTCAGATTTAATGTGGAATAACACAGCGACGATTGGCAAAAATTAAGTTTTTTATATATATACTTTCAAAGTATAATTTTTCGAAAATATTCTACCAGAATATTAAGTCGAATATCACGTGAATAACGAAAAAAATGTCCCAACTTTGATCAATGAACCGTGAACAAATTGAGAAATTATTTTGTTCGACGCGTAACATCCTATGACTCGTATATCTTGCTCAAGTATACATAGGTATTTTGTAATAAAAGAAAATTTAACGTATTGTCCAAAATATATATTTGATCACCCTATTAATAATAGTTTAATGAGGTTTGGGTGTTGCAGAACTAATTTATAAAAACCACGCTTTTCTGGACGTTTTTGAATTATTCCCCCTTGAATCTTTAAAAGCTTGAGATTCGTGTAATATTAGAGTTAAAAACTGAAAATTTTTACTCTAATATTACACGCTTCGAACATTCAAGGTCTGTACATTACTTCACTACATACAATTTATACGACTCGAGCCTTCAAGCTTAAAGGCTCGAGCGTTAAAGACTCGAGCTTTCACGACTCAAGCTTCGAACCTTGAGGGTTCGAGCCTTTAGGGTTTGAACCGCGACTCGAGCTGTTAAAGCTCAAGACTCGAGGCTCATTTTAACAACACTAATTGACTCAAATGAATACCTAGGGGTGCAAAGCAGGATGAAGGAGTTCAAAATTGTGACCGACACGGCCGAGCGAGGAATTAAGCTTATAACAGAATTTAATGATAAGATCATGAAAGACGAAGACTAAAAACAATTTTTATCGAAAGTATAAAATTTGTATTATTTTTCTTTAATATGACATGTTAGGTACGTGTATTACTTTATATTATATTGTCTTATTTCTATCGCAGACTGTTCAAGATTACCGTCGTAGATACTACAACACTACATTAGATGTACTAAAAGCACCATTCGATATGTAACTTTAAGTTAAACTTGAAATTTTTGAATACTTTAGTATATTTTATTTTTTTAATTTTGCTTGTGTATCAAATCATTCTGCATGTATTATTTTTTGTTTCTTATCAAGTCACAAGATAAATCCGTCAATAAAAATTTGAAAAGGTAATTTTCTTTTAATTTCCAGCTGTTGTCGCCACGGGATAATATTAACCGAATATGCTGAAATTTGGTGTATCGAAATATTAAATCAAAAGGAACAAAACTAGGGGGGGTCTCCTTTAAAAATCAATAGTCGAAAAATAGCTGGCACCCTAATGCATACATCATCCATGTACCTATACATATATAGCCTATGCAAATCGTATAACACCTAACATATCCTCCGTGCAATAGGGGGTCTACTGTATATTGTGAAAGAAGTAAAACATTACAGACATGAGTAGTAATCGGCCATTTATTTCCTAACAATCTAATAGATATAGTTTAACCGACCGAGATAGGGACCATAATGACTGTAC